AAACAAAGAACATTTCAGTTTTTTGTTTTTAGTTTTTTTCTATTTTTTTTTTTTTCTATAAAATTCAATGTATAACACAGATGCATAAAAACCTGAATTTTATTTCAGTGTTAAATTCTGTTTAAAGTAACAGATAATAATTAAAAATGTCTCCGGACATTTACAAGTTGATGATGTTTTACATTAATAACCATAGTAATTCAAACAAATAATATAAAAAGTCAACATAAATAATTTGAAATAAATGAGCACAATTATGTTATATTGCAAAAGGTTTATTAAAATTTTTATTTACAACAAACAAGAGCAGGACCAGCCTTTGAACTTGTAAAAAATGCCCATTACATTAAATAACGTAAGTATATATTATTTTCATTTTATAAAATGTATGCATAATCTATATATTTAGAGACACACACAAATATATGTGTATATATATATATATACACTTTAGAAAATCAATTTAATTTTACATACACATCAGACCTTGTCAGTTGCTATTTACCTACAGTAACAGCTACACAATAAATACAATATATGAATGTTTTCAGCTGCTAGTTGAATCCAAGTGGTGATATTATAGGACCCGTAGGTCAACACTGCTTTCACAGTGTCAAATTATCAGATCTCCTGTTATTTGAACCTGCTCATTGGGAGATATTATAATATAGAATACTATTAAATGTATGTGTGTAGAAATTGTCACAGAAAAGATGTCCTACTTTAAGAACCTAGTGAACCTAAATCAGAAACAATCCTTAATTAGTAAGCAAATTGAAGTTTAGCCCAACTCTTTGGTGACATCTATTGAAGGATTACACTGCTACTGTACAACCAAACCTGGTACATCCACACATGTTTATATTCACATAATATTTTAAAAAATAGCTACCAGATTTTCCTTTTATGAGAATGCAATGGCCTGAAGATTATTTAAAGTGTGCTGGGGTTTCATTTTTGAGGATACATCAGTCCCTTTGTGTATTCAGTAAGCCCAGTTTCCTTGGCAATCCAGTTGTTATAGTTGGTCACTTTTGTGTAAACGCCTGGCTTGTTCTCACTGGCACATCCGTCACCCCAGCTCACAACCCCAAAGAGAAACATGCGACCCGACACTTCACACACAAGTGGACCCCCAGAGTCTCCCTGCAAACAGACAGTAAATCAATCAGGCATGTAAAATCTGCCCCTTCATTGAATTTAAAAATCATACAAAAACATATATAATTTAATAATATCTCTATGTCTGGAGAGCTACAACAGAGAGAAATCTAAACAAATCAATAAATACATTTGCTTTTGTTTGTGGGCATCAGAAATTCTACAGATTTGAAAAAAAAAAAATACAATTTCTGATTTCTGCTTCCCGGACTTTGCATCGCAGAAATGTTTCAGTTTAACCATATGCTTACTTTGCAGGCGTCTTCGCTCCAGTCAGGGCTTGCAGCACAGATCATGTTGTCAGTGAGTAAAGCTTTATAGGACTCGTCACGTTTGCAGTCGGTGGAAGAGAGTAGATTCACATTAGCCTTTTTTAGACGGTTGGAATAGGATGAAAAACCTGCAGACCAAATAGCATTAGGTGTGAGGGCAGCTGAAATAGATGCATCACCAATATGTCAATTTAATATAGCCTTCTTACCAAATCTTTCCTTCCCAAATCCTGCAATGCTACATGGGAATCCAGGAGGAAGGTAAGTTTTTAACGGAGGCAGGCAAACTGTCCGAACCGAATCTGTCTTGAATGCACCTTGGCCCTTTTTGTTGGAGATTTTCAGCAGTGCTGTAATGTAAAGATCAGGTAACAGCTCTGCACACAAAGGGCTTTTTTTTAAACTTATGTCATCTCTACAGGCCTTGCAAAAGTATCCGTCTTAATTAGATGTTTTCACATTGTGTCAACTAAAATTCCCAAACTAATATGTGTTTCATGTGTTTCACCAACACAAAGCATAAAGTGGAAGAAAAACTATAAGTGATTTTGTTGTTTGTTCCTGTAAAGATGTAAAAAAAAAAAAAAAAAAAACGGGGCATTCATCCGCCCTCTTTACTCCAATACTCCTAAATCAGATTCCACTACTGCTACTAATTATCTTCAATTTGTGAATGTAAGATCTCTGGGCAAGCTAATATCAGCTCCTCGTTGTCACCTTCCAATCTGTCTAATTTTGAGCTATTTGGTAAAGAAGACTGTGCAAAAATGAAACTTTCTAGATATCTACATTTGGTGACAGCTGTAGTTTCTCTAAAATGGGGAAATACAACTTTTCAATCAGGAAGGCAGAGTACAGATGTATAAAAGTGTACAACCTTTTTTTGTTTGTTAAAAAAATAAAAATAAAACAGAAAACAATAAATTCACGAATCATTTCTTCCACTATAGAATAAAGCCAGTATTGTGTTGGTTTTCCACATGAAGCTTCAATGAAATATACTGATGTATTTTTGGTTCTATTAACAATGATATAACTGAATAGGTGTGAATACTATTAAGTATTGTAAGAAAGAAACGCTCATACACACCCATATCATTGTTGAAGTTCTGCTCATTGTATTTGTGGTGGATGATGAGTTTCTCAACAGTGAATACTTGCTCCCTCTCAGGATCTGTTTCCTTGATTTCGGTCTTTCCTAGGTACACTGACAGATCCTGGAGACGGGTTTTGTTCCTTAACAGAAAGCAAAGCCAAATGGTAAAAACCCCCATATATGCGTAGAAGCGTGTCATTTGAATGTTGTTTAGGTGTGATAAATAGAGGAAGAGGAGAGGGCTGGTTTTCTCACCCATCAACGAAGCAGTGTGCAGCTGTGAGGACCCAGTTGGGTGAGATGAGAGAACCACCGCAGAGGAACTTCCTTTGATAGATTGCAGCAATCCATGGGTGCGACTCAATGGGTATGAAAGATCCTCCAACAATTTTATTCATCCTCTGTGCGGACCGCTCCCCGCATGTCCATTCTGGAGGGATGAGACTGTGTAAATAACGGATGCATATAATCACCTGATGCAACTAACATATTAGAGGTTTTCAGAAACAAACCTGTATCTACAGGCCGGGTAGGTGTTGTTGTTGGATTTACTGTTGGTTTAAAACCTTATTAGAGGAAAAAACAGGCACAATTAGAGAAATGTCAATCCAGTGCACAAAAACATACAGGAGAGAAGATACAAATCTTACATTTTGGAATATCACAGAACTCTCTAACGATCCGGTCTCCTTTTCTAACATAACACCATGGCTTCAAATTATTGTTAGGATTCCTAGAATTGAAATGCAAAAGCACAGAAAATCAGTCTTTTCCTTCAACCCTGTTAAAGCCTTAAATTTGAAACACGGTGTACCTGCAGTAGTTATGGTTTTCAGTTGAAAGCCAGGATTTTCTAGCCTTACTCCAACTGAGACACCTGCGACCATTAGATGATCTAGAAACAGTTCCCCTGTAGCTGCGCCCTTTTCCGTACAGACACTCTAAAACCAAAGCACACAAAATAACATTTCATGGTTATGGATATAAAACATTAACATATGACTGAATCCTATTTTTTAAGGGCTATCCCTGCCACTATACTCCCCCTCTTATATCCTTTGGCATCTTATTCAGGAAGTGTATAAACTATTCCACAAAAAAATGCTCCTTCTGCATCTCCAACCTTAGCAGTTAAAAAAAGCTTCCATTTCCATGTGTTCTATCAGAAATAATCAACACTAAACCCAATATTGATTCCATTAGTTCTCTTACACACTCACAGAAGAACACATAGGCCAAATGTAACCTATTGACCAATTAATTCATCTGAAAGTAATGATACTATTAAAATTGGCTATATGCTAAAAAGAAAGACTCTACTTAGATAGCTGCCCCCCCCCAAAAAAAAGCTGACATCAATGCTAATCTTTTTATTTAAATTTGGACAATACTGATGATTAATCTCAATGCAAATATACTTAGGAATTCCACAAACATGACTCACACAGTATTGTCTATGCCCTATTCTATAAAAACAAATGGGACATCCTGCGTCTTGGAAACGCAGGATTAAAAATGACAAACTGAGACTGAAAAGTGATTCAGTCAGAGTAGCTTACCCTTATTGTTTAAAAACTTCAGAGAAAACACCTGAAAGGAGAAGAGACAAGGTTTAACATTTTTCACTCAAACTGTTGTGATCTTCAGTGAAAATGTAAAGCTTTATCCACACACTGCTCACCATGTTGACACTGAGCGCTGCACAGATGGAGAAGATGATTAAGAGTTTCATCATAACTTCTGCTTTTACTTCTGCTAATCAGAGATATATTTGTCTGGGAAAAGAAGAAGATACAGAAATAGAGCTTTGCATCAGAAGCTGAACGTAAAGTAAACCTCCCATGGCCCAAATATGGAGATTATCATGAAGCATGTTGTGAGAAGTGGTTTCTCACTCTGGTGGAACAGACAAATGTGTAAAAACCTTCCCACAACTGTCAGTTTTATCTTTCTTACTTCTTGGTTTCAGACTTACAAGAAAAGCTTAGACTGCCCAGCCACAACTAGTCCAGAATGTAAAGCATTGTAATCATTCTGTAGCATGTTAATCTATTTATTTATTTATTTATCCAGTCTAATATGGTGCAAACAGCTCTCAGATGATGTTTATATCATCTGTTCTGTACTGTAAACATTGCCTCTATCTGTACACTTAGTTCATATCAATGTAGGTTAGTAGATTACAGCTTTGCATGCTTCGCACCAAATTAGTTCAGGAATATGCACATATCAAATATTTTACTCCTACATGTCCTAGATATACATTGTTGATAAAATAATAACAACTAGTTGCACAAATTTACTTGCTGGAAAGACATCTGACATTTCACAGAATTGTTAACAGGGGGATTCACAGATCTGCTCACCCTTTTAGGACGACTCCTTTCTCTTTTCAGTAATGTGATGCTGAGTCGTGTGACAAGCTGAACTAAACTCTTGCCTGCTTGATTCCTGGTTACGGTGTTGCTGCAGTGCTGATCTTCCTTCAGTCCCTTCCCATTTAAATAATGTGGTGTTAAGTAGGAGGTCCTTAGGAGACCACATGAAAACATTACTGACATCCAGCTGATGAGGAAATCAGACAATTTGTCATATCATATGACTCATTCTGAGAAAAAAAAAAAACCCTTCCCTCTTAAAAAGCAGCATTTGAAGAACTATATCCAAAATAGGCAATGTGGTCAAGGAACGGATCTGATAGAGTTACAGACAGGCTTACCTATGATAATGTTTGACAGGAAGCTATAACTTTAAACTGTACAATGCGCATAGATTTTTTATAAAATTGCTTAAATAAGTTTAACCATCAGGTCACTTCACTAGACTAAAGGCATATCAATTATTCATTATTTATTAATAATTTCTGTCAAATGTTTGCTGAAAATCTTTATTGTATCAACTTTATAGATAAGAACTTTGCATGGAAATGTGTTTCACAATAAATACACAAACTGGTTAAACTGACTTTGTCAAATTATCTGCAAAAGACATATTAATTTCATTTTGTTTGTTTTTTCAGCCAAATTTGCACATTTACCCACAGCTAATACACAGTCAGCCAGGTTTTCTACCTATGATATGATTGACCTTTTGCTTTGATTTTTAACACAGTAATTGTCTTCTTCCTTATACTTATTCCTTTTTGAAAATCTGTTCTGAGTTTCCTCTTGTTGTTTAATAATGTCAATTTAACTAAATTGTTGGTTGATATTAATTAAGCAAATAGATTTCTAAATTGTGCATTCCCTCTAAAGTTGTTGTTAGAGGATTGCTCACACTAAACATGGATATCACCAAAGATTTTTTTACTGATCTGTTTAACATTGTGGAATGGATTATACAACAAACAACTGATTTTTAAGTTGCAGAAATTGAAAGTTGCTGAATCTTCTGCTTTAAAACCGACACCTTTAAGGGAAATATGAGTGAACATAAGAGACTGAGCTTGGGCTGCTTGGCATCAGTGAAGAGAAAAATGTTTGGAGGAAGTGAATTAAAAATATCAGAAATCTGCACCTGTCAAGCATGGTGGTAGCAGCATCATACTGAGGGTCTGTTGTCTGTGGTACTGGTTCATCTCAAAAGGTGAAAGGGATGAACTGCCAGGTGCTTGGAAGATGGAAACAGAGAATGAACAACTGAAAGACAACCTAAACAAATTATAGACACTTACACCAAAGTCCTTTGATTTGTTTTTATCTTTGAGTGCATCAATAATCAATGATTCTCTGTTATAGGAATCACATAACAGTTTTACCTTGTAGAAAGAATGCTCTGTGGGTTCAGGTCTTTGCATTGCTATGCATACGGTAAATTCTTTTCATATAAGTTACCACAAGTTTCTCATGAAACCCAGAATCAGGCTATTTAAGGGAGGTTAACCGGAAACTCTTAGGTACTTCAGAAATGACTGTGTGCATGTCCTAATCTGTCCATTTGCAGTGCAAAACCACATATACTGATAAACAATTTGTTCTAGACTTAGCAACCACATAGAAACCAAGCCAGCTAATATCACAATAAAAAGCAGTTTTCTCTGCTGAAGATGGACAGGTAAAAATTTTGTTCATAAAAACAAGTATATATGGCCCAGAAAGACACCACAGTGATGTTAGACTCTGGCCCTGAGGTGTTAATGTGTGCTGCTTATATTGGTCCTCGGGCAGACATTAATCTTTAATACAACTTCCTCTAAAACAATAGCCATTGTTATTTTTTAAAGGGGAATTCCTGGGTAAAAATCTCTCACATCTGACTTCATTAATGGCTGATGCATGTGTTACTCATACTTCCTATGCTTTGATTCTAATAGTAATTTTTTTTTCTTTGTAGAAGGGTGTGGTTGAGAAATGTATATTTGAAAAAGCTGAATAACATGTCCTGTGCTATTGAGTTCAGCCTAAAGTAGCATTCAGGTAAGAAAATCCCTTGGATATAAATATTTTGTGAAAACAAATCAAATAAATAACAAAATTACTTCATCCATGTAATCATTGAGTATTTGTAGTGATGACAGCTGCCAGCCAACGTGCTCCATAGATTTGGGAAAAGAGTCATATCATCCAGACATGTTATTTATTAAATTCAACTTTAAAGCCTCTGATTCACTGGTAAATTCCCCCAGATTTTCTGATTGCAATACCTATTGCAGCTTTAAGGCTGTGAGAGGAGGTGTAAACAATTTTCAGTTTTGTCCTGCTGTAGATAGGACAAAGCCAACAGCTACTTTGTCTAAACCAGTATACAGAGAACCACCAATCCCAACGACAAAGTCATCAATCTATGAAGAGGAATAAACAAAATGGTAGCCCTTTGCAGCATTGTCCAGTGAGTTTAATTTTGGTCTCATCTGACCAGACTATATTCTCCCAGTATTTCACGTGTCTAAATGTTGTGCAGCAAACTTTAAACCAGCTTTGACACACTTTTTTTCAGTAATGGAGTCTTGCAAGGTGAGCTTGCATACAGCAAATGGTTGGTTGCATTACTTATTGTTTTCTTTGAAACAATTGCACCTGCTAAATCCAGGTCTTTCTGAATTTCTACACAAGTGGTCTATGGCCCTTGGACAACTGTTTTGCTAATTCTTTTCACTCTGTCAGAAATCTTGCAAGGAGCACCTGGTTGGTTTATGGTGAAATTATGTGTCAAAAGCCTCAGAATGTAGGACCCAGTATTGAGACGAGACAGACAGTGGGAACATTCAACGTTTTTGTTAACTCAAACAAACAGTCACAGAGCTGTGGATCTGCAGATCTGAAGCGGCTGCAGGAGGAGACTGACACTCTGAGGGAGAGTGTCAGTGACGAGGGAGAAACACAGGTAAGTGACCACGATAATCTGACAAAAGGTGATTATCCATGTGAGTCACTTTCCTGGTTTAACAGTTCAGTCCATCTTCTCCAAGCAAGGAAGGATCCAGCCGATGGACCGTTTAATGCAGGGGTGTCAAACTGGTTCCAGAAAGGGCCGTGTGGCTGCAGGTCTTCTTTCCAACCAAGCAATAGCACACCAGACTCCAGTCATCTCATCAAGTCATCATGTTCAGATTGGACTCACTTGATGAGATGACTGGAGTCTGGTGTGCTATTGCTTGGTTGGAAAGAAGACCTGCAGCCACACGGCCCTTTCTGGAACCAGTTTGACACCTGTGGATAACGAGACGCAGCAGAAGCCGCTCAGAGGGTCCCAGATTCAGATGCCCCAGTTAGCAGGCAGGATTCCGAGCCATGTCAGGCAAAGCTCAGAACAGGATGGTTCTGAGATCCAGAAGTCCGTAAACAGGCCAGGGGTTCTGGTCAGAACAGGAACAGATAAATCCAAGGCTCTACAGAGCGTTCAAGCAGGTTCAGAGATCCATGAGTCCAACAGACAGCTCAGGCAGATAGGCTTGAATGCAAAACAGGCAGGTTCAGTAGTTGAGAGGCAGAAACATGACACAACACCAGGAAAAATTTAAACCATCCCCCTCCACTGAGCCCAAACAGGAACAAAGCACACTCAGCGGACAAGAGCCAGATGAACAGCGAAATCAAACTCAAACTCAACAAACAAACGAACAAACATCATACAATGATCTGGCCCAGATTGCTGTGCTGAACCGTATATAAGCAGCAGGCAGAGGTGGATAAGAAGTGTGGTGATTAGCACTGGGCAGACTTAGGCAGGTGAGTGAAATTAAAAATCAGGTCAGCTATCAGGGCATCGATCATGACATTATACATGACTTCGAATTCAGGGGCTGCATCCTCCGAAGGCCAGATTCGTAGGCCGATTACTTCATAGCTTGACACCAAGGTTTTTTCGGATTCAAAGACTCCTCATTATAAGGCCGACCAATGCATCATTCTTTTTGCACGATTTGAAGGACAGGTCCGGTGTATCCTACGTAGACTTGGATATCCCTGGATTCATCACGACGCCAAGCAAGCCAGCAGCTCCGTAAACAGAGGAAAAAAGTACTTAGCACTCAACAGTGGTGAATGTTGGGGGGCTAGGGCTGTTTGAATTCACAGCCAAAATTCTTCTGGTCTCATTATTTTCATGGACTTCGAAGGACCCAGTCTAGCTTGGACTTCCGGAGTATGGACTGGACAGTGCTCACTGGAACATTTAGAAAATTTAGAAATCCTTCTGTAACCAATGCCATCATTAAGGTTGCGGAGGTCTTGAGAAAGCTCTTTACTTTTACCCATCATGAGATGTTTCTTGTGTTATGCCAGATACACCTTTTTATAGGCCATCATTTGGGAATGAACCAGTTTATATTAATTTGCACTGACAAATGGCAGGATTGCTTTCTTACTGAGAGATTTTGGCTGGTGTCTTGGCTTTCCCGTACCTTTCTGCAACTCCTTTTCTTCACATGTTCAATACTTTTTCCCTGTGCACTTTTTCTCCACTATTACATATAACTTAATTTCTGGACATCTATGGTTTTATTTCTTTGTATGTGTGGATTGCATGGATTGCTACTGACCACTGGTGAAAATTTCATATAAAAAAAACCTCTTGAAATATATTTATATAAAAATCGTGCTGTGTTCAATACTTATTTCACTCGCTGTAGCAACTCTCAGTAATTGGAGCTGCCGCAGGTGTAACCACTCAGCCCTGATTGCCTATGCAGCAGAAGGAGCAGGTAATGGCATCTTTGTACTTCATTCAGCAGATTTTCAGGGAGAACCAGACAGGAATTATTAAAACCATATTCATATTCTATAGCACTGATGTGAAAATCTGAGGTTTGGGATGAGTGGGAATAATCCGAAGTTTGTGGGTTTGATTCCACCTCCCCCTTTTATATCTGAGCTGAATGTGGCTATTGTGTGAAGGGAATTGAGTGGTCAGTAAGACCAGAAAAGCACTATATGAATTCAGTCAATTAGCTATTTGATTCTTATAATTAATGAATATATATGAAAATGAAAAAGTGTGTGACATGATAGCTTTACAGTCAAGATTTATATCTTGATCAGTGTCTTTGACACTACTGTTTGTAAAGAATGGGATGAAAATGAATCTATTTGCTGAGTACTGTATATTACCCAAAGGAACAAAGCACCGCACTTAGTCCTGTAAGAATTGGGGAAAATCCTTGGGGAAAAAATGAGGGGGAGAACTGTAACTGTGTGATTTAACTAAAAGAAATCTCCCTGCTAAGCGGACCAGGAATCTGCTTTCCATGTGGCTCCTTCATGTTTGCCAATTGCCAGAAGGATTCCCGGGTACTTATAGAGTAGCTGTCTTCAAGATCTGCTATTATCCCTTCTGGACAATTGGGTGGTTTCCCACAGCCTCAAGTAGTTTGGAATGAAGGCTCTCAGAGTGCTGTTCACCTTGTCATAGGCTGACTCATAAGCAAAGTGTTTTGCCAAAGGCACAATGACTGAGAAGGATGTTACAGGTGTTTGAACCAGCAACCCTCTGGACTGCAGGATAAACTCTCTCATCCTATGCCACTGTTGCCCCACTCCTGAAACAAAACAGAGGGATAATCAAAAGCACAAAAATAACCTGCCCAGCTGGGGCACTTTTTGTTTTTTTGTTTTTTACAGAACAAAACGATAGCAACTTAGAAGAAGACAGAAAGCTGGAAACCATTGTAGGTGATGAATCAGGTTCTATGAGGCAATACATTCCCCATCCATTTCCCCTTTTTTTATTTTAAATGTGCATATGGAATATGCCAAATGGCATAAGCTCTACTTCTATTTTAATCCAATGTGCAATTAAATGTAATAAAACCCAGAGCTCTAGAAAGTTAAAAAAGTTATTTTAAAAGGTAATTCAGTACAAAGACAATGCAACTCTTTCAACTCATTCAAAGGAGTGAACAAGAAAAATAAATAAAATGGAGAAAGCACATTTCTACGGAGGCATATTGCATTCACCAAAGAAAAAAAATATCAGACAGCTTATCTTGTAATCTTGAGATAATTTCTCATAATTACAAGATACAATGTCATAATTACGAGATACTGATCTGGTAACTACAAGATATGCCCGTCAGATTACTTTTCTTTGGTAAATGCAATGCGGTTTGGTAAAAAGCTGTCGCACACTAGAGTAAGGAATATACAGAGGGGTAAGTAAGTATTGAACATGCCACCATTTTTCTCAGTAAACATATTTCTAGAGGTGCTATTGACATGACCTTTTAGACAGATGTTTGTAAGAATCCATACAATTCACACATACAAAAAAATCAAAACATGAAGTTGATGTAATACAGTGAAATGAAACAGGGAAGAAAGTGTTGAACACACTTACTGAAATGTATTTAAAAGTTTGTACAAAAGCTTGTTGGCAATGACAGCTTCACGGTGCCTTCTCTTTGGAGAAATTAGTGCCATGCATTGCACAGCTGTAATTTTGGCCCATTCTTTCTCACAAAAAGTCTTCAAATCTTAAAGGTTTCATGGGCCTCTTCTATGAACTCTTAACCTTATTTATTTCCATAGATTTGCTGGATTCAAGTCAGGTGATTGGCTGGGCCATTCCAGCAGCATTATTTTCTCTCTCTGAAACAAATTAATAATTTATTTGGCTGTATGTTTGGGTCTTTGCCTTTTTGAAATGTCCATGCACGTTCCATCTTCCTCATCCTGGTAGATGGCAGCAGATTCTCAGATCTCTGAGTGAGAGTGTCAGTGATGAGGGAGAAACACAGGTAAGTGACCACGATAATCTGACAAAAGGTGATTATCCATGTGAGTCACTTACCTGGTTTAACAATTCAGTCCATCTTCTCCAAGCAAGGAAGGATCCAGCCGATGGATTGTTTAATGAGATGCAGCGGAAGCCGCTCAGAGTGTCCCAGATTCAGATGCCCCAGCTGGCAGGCAGGAGTCAGGCACAGCTCAGAACAGGATGGTTGTGAGATCAAGGAGTCCGCAAACCGGGGAGGGGTTCCGGTTTGAACAGGAACAGATAAATCCAAGGCTCCACAGAGCGTTCAAGCAGGTTCATGGCTCCATGAGTGCAACAGACAGCTCAGGTAGACAGGCTCGAATGCAGAACAGGCAGGCTCCGTATTTGAGAGGCAGAAACATGACACAACACCAGGGAAAACTGGGTAAATTTAAACCATCCCCCTCCACTGAGCCCAAACAGGAACAAAGCACGCTCAACGGACAAGAGCCAGGACATAATCTGAAAACACCAATACAAGGCCAACAACCCTATCTCACCACTGGCCTCAGAAAACAAAAACATGAACAGCGAAATCAAACTCAAACTCAACAAACAAACGAACAAACATCATACAATGATCTGGCCCAGATAGCTGTGCTGAACCGTATATAAGCAGCAGGCGCCGGTGGATAAGAAGTGTGGTGATTAGTAACTGGGCAGATTTAGGCAGGTGAGTGAAATGAACAATCAAGTCTGCTATCAGGGCATCGATCATGACATTATACATGACTTCGAATTCAGGGGCTGCATCCTCAGAAGGACAGATTTGTAGGATAATTTAAGATAATTCCAACGAGAGGAGACGTATATTTCTACTCCAAATTGAGGATGTATTAGCGCCCCCACGTCAGTGCATGTCACTGCATGAACTGCAGGTAAACTAACGCGCAGCTATCAACTGAGTTGGATGGGACACTGTGCGGCCGCGACACATTTTTAGTTCTGGTAACGTTTCTTACCTGTCAATTTTATTATTTTCCCAGTGAAACCACATGATTTATAGGCTACTAACTGAAAATTACTGCATTGGTTTGTAGATGATATCAGGAAATTCCTCACACGAAGCAGAGACAGGGAAGCAGTAAAACAAGATGAGAGAGAGGGAGGTAAGGTCCCTTGATGAATTAGTGATTTAAGCTAACCAGTTACATTAGGAACGTTATAAGCAATATGATAGATATTTACATAATTATAGATTTACGTCTTTTAATGTTTGCTGTTGAGAATGAGAATGAAGGTGCTGGAGTAGGAAAGGGAGGAGGAGGAGGAGGCGAGACTGACAGGCAAGAGACAGGTGAAAGACAGGAGAGAGACAGGACCATGAAGGTGATGAGGATGCAACAACCAGCGTCCACAAACAAGAAGGGGACATTAGTGACTTAGGGGGAAAGCATGATGGTCCTAGACAAGTTAAGTTGTCCCACTATCCCCAAGACAAATTTGAAGTAAAAAAACGTTCATTTAATTCAAAATGGTTTGAAAGCTTTTTATGATTGAAAAAGAAAGCCTTGTCATCAAGGATATGCAGTGTGTTTTCAACTTGCTTGATAACATCATATTCCCAACACTAACGCAGGTCATCCAGATCTCCCTCACAATCCCAGTCTACAGCTGGAGTTGTGAAAGGTCATTCAGTGTGTTGAGAAGGCTCCACACTTGGCTGAGTTGCACAATGGGACAAGACAGGCTCCATCATCTTGCTATTTTATCAGTTGAAAAGGAAGAACTTTCTAAGCTGAGTCACGAGTGATTGACCGCTTTGCAAAAGTGAAAAATAGGAGGTACACTTTAATGCTCAAAAAATAAAAGAAAAACTTAGTTCAGGTTGAGTTAAACTTTCCACCAAACTAAAACCCTGAAACCTAGGAATTAATGATAACTTCAGAATCTGTATAAGGAAACTTTTTATTTGTCAAAGTTGGTGATGTCTTATTTTTTATAGCTGCAATGTTGAAAATGTTCATGTTTGTTAAAACAAATATGCTCTTACACTCATTAATATCTCAACTGGTAATATTGGTAGAAATGTATCAGGGTGGGGCAGTGTGCTTGTCTGTATTTGTGTATGAAGGAGGGGCACATGCGATAGGGGGCCAGTACCCCAGTAAAGCTTTGTGCCTAGCAACGCCCCTGGATACAAATAAGAAATCTCACTCACTTTAACATTTTTGATTTAGATAAATTGTTAATGTTTTATCTTTTAGTCAGTAAAGTCACAGTGGCACTTAATAATAATAATGCTGAAGTAAAGTGAAGTAAAACTGACTGAATCACGTTAATTTCTGAGGCTGTACTGATTCAAAATGTGCATCGTGTCGCCATCTAGTGGCCGTACCAAACTTGGGAAGCTCGTCTTGCCAGGGACCTTCCAACTTTTATAGTAACAAAATAAAAAAGTAGTTATCCTCTTAGCATTTATACAACATTAACTATTTTTTATGTAATATTTATTTGGTTTGTAGCAACAGATAATAGAGAAAAAATAATAAACCTACTAAAACAAAACCTGGCGGTCACGTTTCTGCCGCTACAGAAAAGTGCGCATGCGCAGAAGTCCAGCCCATACTTTCACTTTAGCGCTGACGTTGAAGTGCGTGAAGTCACCCGTTGTGGATTCCCACCAAAAACAACAACAGACGAGCCGCACAAACTTTTCCTTTACAGTCATGATAATTTGGTGAAGATACAATTTAGCCGGGATTCGGTCTGCTAAAGCAAAGCCTGATCTGAACAGGCTGACAGGCTTCTCTCACTGTGAGGAGAAAATGTCCTGAAAGGAACAACAAACGCTTTTATGTCAACCGTCGACTCTGACTTCGGGGGAAGGTGAGTTTATCAGGAGCTAGAAGTTACCTTTAAAGCAAATGTTAGTTGTAAATAATAAATATATAACCCCAGTGAAACCAAGGTAATAAGTTTGTCTAACTTGTGTTTTGGAAATGCCACTAAAAATAAAGCATAACGCATTAATTATCTTATTTACACGTGGAGCAGGGTTTTAGCAAACCCATAGACCACTTCCCTCCCATTATAACGGAATAAAGCCTTAGATTATTTTCAGGGCTGGCAGTAAAATACATGGTTATAATGTCATACATTATATCAGAGGTCGACGTGTATTTAAAGAAACAATACAGTATATATATATATATATATATATATATTGTATATATATATATATACCTGTTTGACCTCTCTTCTCTGGTTAATTTGTCATTTGTGTTGAAGACTATCTCAAAATATAAGTCATTTTATTAGAATTTTAAACAATGTTAAAGTGTTAATTCATATTTCCAAAAAGAGAGGAAAACTTTTCAAGATTAGATATTTTATGCGTCAAATCTTCAAAAATCTCTGAGTTTTTTGAAGAACTAAAAAATCTAGGGTCTATGTTTCTGGTCTTACAATAAAGTTATTGGAACAACAATGACATTTTTTTTTTTTTTATAACTTCTAATTTCCACTCTTTTGTTAGATATTTGATTTATTTTTACTCAGAAACACAGATCTGCATTGATGACTGAAAGACATCTTCTGCCTCCATTTACTACAGTGTGATGAATTCATGTTAATGTGTATTTAAAGACATTTCAATTAGTGAAAGATGGCATGGGTAGAATATTAAAAGAAAAAGTCTAATCAACCAAAACTTTCTCCACCCGCATGCATTACCTCCACAGACCCCCTGTTGAAGACCTCTGCCATATAATGTCACAGTGATTAATATAAATACATTTTTAGAACTAAAATGTTGGCCTTCTAAAAGCAAAAGCAGTAAATGCACTACATATTTGGTTAAGGCTCATATTTAGAACTGAACTGAATAAAACATGTACAACAAAATAAAAATCTGTCCCCATGCAATGCTCCTGAGTGCATCTAAGAATAAATTAGGACAGATTTACACACATATTACAGAATTATCGATTTCTTTTTGATTCAGTTGTTAGAATCAATGTTTCTATTAAAGTTTATGTTTTTATTATTTAGAATTATCATAGAAACTCTGAGTCATGACCATCAAGCTTTGTGTAGTTAATTTATGAAATCAGCTTTTTGAATTAAAGTATCAAAGTAGTGAAACTAATCTACCTCTAGGTTACTGCAGGGTATCTGTAGTGGAACATTTTCAAAGACTAAAGCATTAAGTCAGAATTATATTATATTCCCACTATATTCAGGACTGGCGATAGTTTATGTGGTTTGAACTTTTTTTTTTAAAGCTGAATCATTTGCACACAATGGAGAGGCCTGCACCAAAAAGGAGCCAGCTGTGCGTCGCCTGGACAATGAAGGAAAAACTCGGGGTTGGAGGCTTTGGGCACGTCTACCTGTACCAGCACAATGTAAGTCCACCTGTAACCCTGGAGAAGATCAAGTACAGACTGATGTTTCTCAAATCTTTCCTTCCTCGTTTGCTCTCGGAGCAGGAGACGAGTGAGAAGATTGCTGTGAAACTTTGCCGCCTGGACCTGAGTCAGAAGAATAAAGAGCGCTGGAGCAGGGAAATTCAGATCATGAGGAAGTAAGTGTTTTATTGTGCAATTGCATCTGTAAAATATCATGTTAATATTTTACACTGAAGATTTTGAACTTGCCAATGGAATGTAGCTTTTTGGTTGCATTTATTTATTTATTTTTTACAGGCTTGACCATGAAAATATTGTTCAGGCCAGAGACGTGCCAGAAGATGTGACATCCATCGCTCTCAATAACCTACCTCTGCTTGCCATGGAGTACTGCGCCAAAGGAGACCTACGCAAGGTACTGAATGAGCTTGATATGAAAACGTTAAATATGTATTTTAAACCATGGCACGTAACAGATCAAGTCATTTATTTAGGTGCTGAATAAACCAGAAAACTGTTGTGGACTGAAGGAGAGTGAAGTCCTATCGCTGCTCAATGATATTGGTAAGTTTTTCATGATCTCCCTTGACTTTGATTTTAAGCTTGCTTTAATGCATTGTATATTGATTATTTTCTACTGTAAAAACAGGCTCCGGTATCCAGTATCTCCATAAAAATAAGATCATTCACAGAGATCTAAAACCAGAGAACATAGTTCTGCAAGAGATTAATGGAAAGGTAGACAAATGTTCCTTTTCATTGATGCATTTTGTTGATGTTTTGTTATACTTGTCTTAAGTTTTGTCGTCAATGTGTTTTTCTTCTCTGCAGCTTATCCATAAAATCATAGACCTGGGATATGCAAAAGATTTGGATCAGGGAAGTCTTTGTACCTCCTTTGTGGGGACTCTTCAGTACCTGGTAAATAAGCTTTCCATCATTGTCTTATGTTTTGTTAAATTATATTTCTAGTCAGCAATCTGAAAGAAGCTTCAAACCTGCTGTGTTTGTGTGGCAGGCTCCAGAGCTGTTTGAGAGTAAGCCATACACTGTTACTGTGGACTACTGGAGCTTTGGTACAGTCATTTTTGAATGCATTTGTGGTTTTCGCCCCTTTCTGCACAACATGCAGCCAGTACAGTGGTAAGCCAATTACACAACTATCCATTTGTATGTCTTCCTGAACGTAGGATCGACTGATCCAGTTTTGTTTTAAGGCCGATGCTGAATATTTTGAAATTAGGCTAACCAATCCCCGACATGTGCTGCCAATATGATTTGGCTGACTATTGGAGTTGATATTCCTTTTTTCCCCCTCCATTTACATCGTAGAAATGACACAATTATAGCAAATGTAACACAAGTCTCAGGTTAAATAAAAAAGAAAAATCTATTAGCAAAATAAACAAAACATTCACTATGGCTGTTAATGGAGGGGAGGGGCAATGCATGCACTCCACTAGATCTCAAGGCATGGTTGCTGAATAGACTCATGAATCGGCCAACACATGCATGCATTGGCAAAACGTACATGTATTCACTGATTCAGATATGAAAAAACGCCATTATCGACCGACCAAAGAGTTTGGTACATAGGAAACTTAGATCTTCTTTTATATTTACCTTTACGATTTGTTAAGTGAAAAGTTAACCATTTCAAGAAAGAAACCAGATTTAGTTTGGGAAAGCATTTGGTGTGTTTAGCTGAGGAGGCAGACTTCTATCTAGCCAAATATCATCATCCTCACTGAGACACACAGAGTTACAGCCGAATGGCGAATGGAAGAGGATACCCAGACAGGATAAAAAAAAAAAAGGTAGGTTTAGCTGAAATTGCCACTTGTTCATTCAATGGAGGAAGAAAAAAAACACTAGCTTGGACAGTCCATCCAGCACAACTACTTTAAAACATGGCTACATACTTCGCAGGTCTACTTAGGTTTGATCCTTTAAAGGAAACATGGCAGTAGTCCTATATATGTTTCTGGTTAGTGCAGACTGACCAAGGAGGCAGCGCCATCATGTGAACTACCAACAACTCACTGATCATTTTTGCTCTCCTCCATAATGATATTGGTAGCGAATGTGCAAATTGTAAAGCTAAATTTCTGCCTCACATTTGAACTTTTAGTTGTGCTGAAGGAAAAAAATTATGATATAATAAAAAAATATAGGAACATTTAAATTCAAATGTTTGAATTTGTTTTGCCCCATTTTTTTAGATCAACTGGAGCAAAGGAAAATTTGATAATTCAAGACGTTTTCTGACTCAGAGCACAATTTATATACTTTTAGTCAAAAGTTTTAAGAGGTTTAACTAATGCTGGGCGATTAATCAATAAAAACCAATTAAGTAAATTTTTTGTTTATGCCAATTCTGTCGTTGTAAAAATGATTTTTTTTCCTTCACCCATCCACTCCTTTAGCTTCCATAGCTCAGAGTGACATCAGTTCATCACTTTCTGTTCTTAGATGTCTCCTCATAACTGATAAACTGGCTCACTGTGTGATAGCACTAGATGTAAACATTAAGTGTGCTCTCTTTTCATTGTCAGTTGTTAAACAAGTTCAGGTTTTTTATTGAATTTCATTGCCCTTTAAATGAAGGTCACCTCCCTGAAGAGATGACTGAAATCAAAGCTAGTTTTTGACATAAATATGTAATTTGTCATTTTTATTATGAAACTTAAAGCTGCAGTCTGTAACATTGAGAAGAGAGCAGACTTCGACTGAAAATTTGAAGAAAAACAGGGGGGGGCGGGATTCAGCGTGTGTGAGCTGTGATTGACACTCCATCAGACGCTCCTCTGGCTGTGATTGGTTGTTTTGACTCGTCCC